GTTGCTCCTTCAACTCCTTAAGCTCCTTAATTGCCATTATGTAAGGAGCCTTAGCAACAGGTTCAGCTCCTGCCACTAACTCAATAGAGAAATCTATTTCTCTACTTGGAGGTAAACCAAGTAGATCATCAGAAAATACTTCTGCGAATTCCTGAACAATTGGAATATCCTTCAGCTCTCTTTCTTCCTTCTTCTCTTCCTTAACATAAGCTAAGAAACCTTCACAACCTTTCTTTAACATCTGAAAGGCCTTCAAGGACGACACAATCACTGCAGTTACTCTATCTCCTTAAAATTTGAACTTCTCCTCTCCTGGCATACAAAACTTATCCTCCTTCTTGTTACAATCTATAGTCACGAAATGGCAAGATAACCAATCCATGCCTAAGATTGCATCAAACTCATATAGAGGCAATACAATCAGATCAGCCTCAAACTTCTTATCACAAATCCTCAACTTTACTTGACATTTCTGATTAGCTTTCATATGATTCCCATTAGGCATCAAAACTGATAGAGACTTCAACATAAAGGTAGGAAGCAATTTAGCAGATATAACAAATCCTTTTGAAACAAAGAAGTGTGACGCTCCAGTATCAAACAGGATTCTAACGGGTCTATCGCACATAAGGAGTGTCCCTAAACATAAACAAGTGCAACATTCATTCACAAAACATGTCATTTATTATTTGTTCATTTCATTTTCATTCATTGTTCATTTCAATTTCAATTTCAATTTCATATATAAAAAAAATTCAATGCAATTAATTAAACTACGCACCTGTAACCACATCAGGAGATCCCTTAGCTTCTTGCTGGGACAGTCCATAGACTCGTGGCTGAACATTCTGACGAGTCTGACCTTGAGAAGGAACAGAAGCTGTAGACTCCACAGCTCTTGGTCTACCAGCTGTCCTCTGAGCATTATTGCCTGACCTCACATCTGTAGCAGATTTCTGACCCAAAAGAGGACAAGACTTCGCCATGTGCCCAAGCTGATGGCACCAGTAACAAGTATTAGTGCCTGAGAGGCACTCTCCCTTATGCACTCGTCCACACTTACTGCACAGTGTAGCAGTTGAAGCGCTACTATCAGAACCACTGGATCTGGGCTTCTTCCAAGTAGAAACCCCTGACTGGGAAGACTGAGTCATCTGGGAAGGCTTTGACCTGCCCTCCATTTTTCTCTTCCGAAAATCCCTCCTTTTCTGAGTTGCCAGCATATCCATTTCTATCCTTCTTGCTCTCTCCACTAAAACAGAATAATTCTCAATTCCAAATGGAATGAGAGGCTATCTAATCACATCTTTCAATCCATTCAGGAATCGATTGCACTTTTCTTCAGCATCAAGTATCAGGTGTGGGGCATACCTGGATAACATCGTGAACTCTGCCTCGTACTGAGAAACAGATCGGTCTCCCTGAACCAATCTGTTGAACTTGCCCTGCATCTGTCTCCTGGCTGACTTAGGTACATACCAATCTCTGAATACCTTCACAAACTCCTCCCAGTCAACTTGACTGCTTGGTCTTCCTCCAAATGTTTGTTCT